TATATACAGACATATGCACACATATCTACATATATATACACACATACACATTTATATGCATATATATACAGACATATACACACATACACATTTAGATACATATATACAGACATATGCACACATATATACATATATATACACACATACATATTTGAGCACAGAACTGAGAGGTACGAATGTTTATGATAGAACTTCTTGTCTGTTGTTTCTCTTCCTATTTAAAACCAGAACAAAGCAATACAGTAAAGACTTAAGTAGTTCTTGAAGCCACTTCCAGTAGAATCTTCGGGCTCCCAGAAATGGGTTCTGTTCGAGCCCTTCGGCCACGTCTTTCTGCAGCCCACGCGGAGGAAGGCCTGAGTGTCCTCACGCTGGGAGAAGTGGAACTTTGGGTGCAGTCCCCAGAGTTAGTCACACTTCTTCTTTTACTTAAGTTCTATTTAAGATCTAGTCTAATGCTATTTTTATGTGGCTTTTTAAGTAGTGCTTGTTAAAAAGATAATACAAAATTCCACAAATCACTGCTCATTAACCATCAGAATCCTGTAAAAAGCATTCGTCATTGTAGATAAGCTGTGGTTTCTAAAAGCATTAGAAGTCATTTTGACAACTGCTGGGGAAGGTGGGCGCGGGGTAAGCTGAGCTCCGGGGAAGGTGGGCTCAGGGGAACGTGGGCTCAGGGGAACGTGGGCTCCGGGGAAGGTGGGCTCCGGGGAAGGTGGGCTGGGGGGAAGGTGGGCTCCGGGGAAGGTGGGATGGGGGGAAGGTGGGCTCCGGGGAACGTGGGCTGGGGGAAAGGTGGGCTCTGGGGAAGGTGGGCTGGGGGGAAGGTGGGCTCCGGGGAAGGTGGGCTCCGGGGAAGGTGGGCGCCGGGGAAGGTGGGCTCCGGGGAAGATGGGCTCCGGGGGAAGGTGGGCTCTGGGGAAGATGGGCTCCGGGGAAGGTGGGCTCCGGGGAAGGTGGGCTCCGGGGAAGGTGGGCTGGGGGGAAGGTGGGCTCGGGGGAAGGTGGGCTGGGGCGAAGGTGGGCTCTGGGGAAGGTGGGCTCCGGGGAAGGTGGGCTGGGGGGAAGGTGGGATCCGGGGAAGGTGGGATCTGGGGAGGGTGGACACTGGGGAAGGTGGGCTGGGGAAGGTGGGCTCCGGGGAAGGTGGGCTCCAGGGAAGGTGGGCTCGGGTGGAAGGTGGGCTCCGGGGAAGGTGGGTTGGGGGGAAGGTGGGCTCCGGGGAAGGTGGGCGCTGGGGAAGGTGGGCGCCAGGGAGGGTGGGCGCCAGGCTTCCCTTCATCTCTGAGCTGTCAGGTCAGCCGGAAAGGGAACCCCAGGGCCCAGCACAAGCATCTGCATCCTCCGGGAAGCGCCACGTGTGCACCGAGGCCTGAGAGAACTCCCTGTTGGCCTGGGCGGTTCTGCTGCCCCACACGGATGACACTTAGAGCTGAACTGTCCTTCTCCCTGCCTCTTGGTAGTTTGACTTCACTTTTGTTGAAGTGTATCGCGTCAAGAAATTCCAGTTTACGTCAAAGCATGTGGAGGATGAGGACAGCGACCTCAAGGAGGGAGGGAAGAAGCGCTTCGGGCACATCTGCAGCAGCCACCCCTCCTGCTGCTGCGCCGTCTCCAGCAGCTCCTGGAACTGCGATGGGGAGGTCCTGCACAGCCCAGCCATCGAGGTCAGGTACGTGCAGGGACCTCCGGCCACCAGCGCCAGCCCCTCCATCCCTGAGATGTCTGTCACAAGCTGCCTCACCCAGGCATATTCCCTGGGGCTTTATACCTGAGAATGTTTTAGAAATGCACTTTTCTTTCTCTATGTCAATATCGAAGGAGATGCCGTGGCCCACATTCTGGAAAGATGCCGGGTGCCGAGTCCTCCTGCGTTTTGTTTTGCGGGTCATTTTCACGGGTGTCGGAAGCCCCTCCGTCTCATTCTTTTTCTCTTCCACACTCTGTGCTCCAGGCTGGCATTGGGCTCTTTGCCCTGGCATTCTCTCTCTCTCCTCCTAAATAATTCAAAAGGTAGGAGGACGAGGCGGGCAGATCACTTGAGATCAGGAGTTTGAGACCAGCCTGGCCAATATGGTGAAACCGGTCTCTACTAAAAATTAAAAAAAAAATTAGCCTGGTATTTTTACAGGTGGTAGCATGCACCTGTAATCCCAGCTACTCGGGAGGCTGAGGCAGGAGAATCACCTGAACCTGGGAGGTGGAGATTGCAGTGAGCTGAGACCTGGATGACTGAGCGAGATACTGTCTCAAAAAAACTCAAAAGGCACACAAAGGAAACTGCCGTTATGGGCAGTCCTTGATTCACTGAGTCCACCAGGGAACGGTGGGCCTCAGGGGCCACGGTCAGCCGCCAAGTGCAGGTGCTCCGTGCAGGGAGGGGCAGGAGACAGTGGCACTGGGAAAGACACCCCCGGAATGGGAAGGAGGGGAGGAGGCCCGAGGGAAGCTTGGTGTTGAAGGCCATGCAGCCTGGGGAATCTGGGGAGGCAGCTATGGCCAGACACAGAAGTTTGGTGTCCCTGGGGCAAGTGCCATGCCCCTCCTCTGGCTGGCTGGGTGGAAGGTGGGAAGCACTGTCCTCCCACATCGACTGGGGCCCATTGTATTTGGAAATTTGTAATATATCACATGACCAGCAGGAATCTGAGCACAAAGAAAATTGTTTCTCCTTGGGGAGACACAGTAACAAGCAAGTTGATGTTTTTCAAAGGCCACTGAATTAGGTGTGGGCGTGCAGATTGCATGAGGCTGGGGAGCTGGTCAAGCTCTAGGCGGATTCTGAACTGTTGGCAGGTGTCTGTCAGAGCTTGGTCTACTTCAAGGAAGCCCAGCTGGACACTTGTTCACAGAGCGTGGCTCACGGGAGAACCATGGCAGGCTGGTCGGCAGGCCTACGCCTGTCTGCACCGAAAGCTGGGTGACAGATGGCCCTTGAGTGCTTGAAGTCACAGCATGTAAGAGGATGCCGCCTCTCTGCAGACAGCTCCTCAGATCAGTGACTCCTCCGCCAGCGAGCTCTGGCTCTAAGAAAGCTTCTCCCGTTCACATCCAAACAAACCTAGTGGAGAAGGAGGTCTCCACCCCTCTGCAGACCTGGGTCCGAGTGCCCGCTTTCTTTCCATCAGGGTGGTGATTGCGAGAGGTCGTCGGAAGGTCCTAGGAACACCCAGTGCCCTGGCAGCCCTGCATAGGGACTTTCCTCTGTCAACTCATGTGACAAGTTTGGGAAGTGGGATTATTTTTAATATTGGTGTACATATAAAAGAAATAGAATAATTTGAAAATTAGGGCGGGCATCAAATAGGTCCTGTCTATCTTGATCAACATTGCTATGCCTTGAGCAGCACACCACTTTTTAAAGTATAATTTGTGTGTGTGTTTGTGTGTGCTCAGCTCCATGGAAACAGCCTGTCATTTATTTATTTATTTTTATTTTTTAATTTTTTGAGACAGAATTTCACTCTTGTTGCCCAGGCTGGAGTGCAATGGTAAGGTCTTGGCTCACTGCAACCTCAGCCTCCTGGGTTCAAGTGAGTGTCCTGACTCAGCCTCCCAAGTAGCTGGGATTACAGGTGGGATTACAGGCGCCCACCACCACACCTGGCTAATTTTCGTATTTTTAGTAGAGACAGGTTTTCACCATATTGGCCATGCTGGTCTCAAACTCCTGACCTCAGGTGATCCGCCTGCCTGGGCCTCCCAAGATACTGGCATTGCAGGTGTGAGCCACTGTGCCCAGCCCCGGCCTGTCACTTAATGCAGGGATTTAGGTTACTGAAATATGTCTGAGAAGGCTTTGATATTATTAATACATGAAATAAACAGAGCTGTCCTGTGTGGGAAGATGGCTCTGACCCAGGGATTCAGTCTGGCCACCAAGCCCCTGGGCAGGGGACCTCCAGGGACCCCCCCAACCCACTCCTCAAGCCTGAAGGCTCTTGCTGGCATTGGGCCACCTGTCCTTCTTATCTGAGCATTCCTCACGAATCTCTTCCACAAATGGAGTCGCCCCACATGGGCTCCCCACAGGCCCTGCACACTCAGTACTGCTAAGGACATTGAAGGGGTGGGTGGGTGGAGTGGGCACACGCCAGAGTGGGCACTCTGCTTTCCATGAGAGCGTTGTCATCCAAATCAGGGGTGCTGATGCCCGTGTTTCCCACCTGGCCATCAGCAACACTTTACAAACTTGGCACCCTGGGAGTGTAAGTGAATGACTCCACACCCAGGACCCATCATTTCGGGCTGGACTCCCGCAGCCCACGGTGACATCCGACCATTCCATGGGGAGTGGGCCCCCACTGCAGCCCTTGTCTGGGAGTGGGGCTCAAGGCCAGCCTTCAGTGAGGGACATGTGGGGTTTACGTGTGGCTGCTTGTCTCTGCAGGGTCCACTGCCAGCTGGTTCGACTGTTTGCACGAGGAATTGAGGAGACCGCGAAGCCAGACTCGCACAGCTGAGAAGCCGGCTCCTGCTTCCGGACTCGGAAAGCGTGAAAACTATTTAAGAGGATTATTCCAGACCACTTATGTTGAGATATACATTCAAATTTAGAAATTTATTTTTGATAGTTAAATCTTGATTTTAGAAAAAAAACACCTTTGGTCAACAATTTTGTGACATAGTTGCCATTTTCAGTTCTCTTGCGCATCTACGGGTTCAGCTCACGTCACTTCCTCTCAGCGGACGCAGCTGCTGATGGGGGCATTGGCTTCTTAGGTCTTAACAATGTCAACAGTGTAGCTTAGAAAATGGCTCGCCAGTGGCTCTATTGCAATAATTTTAGGGACGTGATAATATGATTTCCACGAAGGTCACACCGTCTGCGCCCAAGGTAGCGGAGAGTCACCTTGATCCACTTTGCGGGACGCGTTCCGTAATGGTTTGTGGGCAAATTTTGGGAAGGGGTTGATTCTCTTTGCCTGCATTTCACCTTCCTCTTCGTTTACGGTTAGGTCCTCGCTGCTTGATCCCCACTATACTGTGCAGCTGCAATGCAACGTGGTCCGGCTTCGGGTGGTAGACCACGGGAGGTAGACCACGCCCATGCCAGAAGGGGCGTGGGGGGCCTGCACGCCTGCCTCGTCACGGCGGCATTGCAAGACAATCCGGCTGGGAGCACCACCCCGGCGCCTGTTCTGGGAGCACAGATCACGAGCTCTGGAAGCGGGCCCTGTGTGAAGCACCGGCAGGTTCTGTGCTGCTGAAATGTCACGTGCCGATGCTTGATATTGACACGAAGGGCCTAACACAGCCGGGCTTGGTGGCCCATCAGGAAAAAACGGGCCGCCCGTGGAGGAGGGGCCATTCCCAGATTCCAGAAGGATGACTTCGGAGCAGGCCCTGGAGCCCGTGCCTACGGCCCAGACACGTTCTTGCCTTTTCTTCAAATCGAGTTCTCTGTATTTACCGACCATCTTGTCCTTTTACAGCAGAGTAGTGTGAACTCCGTCTCCGATGTTTGTCTTCTGTCTCGAAGCCATGGTGGATCGCCAGTTTCCTCTGAAGCATGAGGGCCCTGGTGACCAGAGGACTCTTCCCTGAAGGCATTCCTGCCCCGATCCCCAGGGCACCCCTCAACTGTGTACTACGTCCTTGTTTACTGTGTATCCTTGCCCGCGTAGATGATAAGATGTATGTGACTTAGTTTTGTTTGAAATAAGAGACTCTGCGGCTGAAACTTTGGTCTCTAAGTGGGGGGCCGCTGCCGTCTGGAGCACGTGTAGACACCGTTCCTGCCGCTGCCGGGTGGGTTTTGCAGAGGCTCCCTTAGTGATTTCACATTTTGCAGGCAGCTTCCATCTTCAGAATTCCCTGGCATTGATTTCTGTTTTGAATCATACAGGAAACTTCCCATTTCCTCGTTCAGCCCCACCCAGGTCAGGCAGAAGGGCAGCTTCAACGGCGGATTTTATGGACCACATTATCAGAGATCATTGTACAAGCCGAATGGTGTAATAATGAATAGTTCAGAGAAAAATCTGGGTGTAAAGAGTCAATATGCCCTTGCTCTTTCTACCACTGTGTGCTCCCGGTTGGAAAAAAACCAAACATGCAAGATGGGCTGCTCTTCAGACGGGCCGTGCCTGCCTGTGCCGCGCAGCCCGGGCAGCTCACCGCATGCCTGCTGTCCAGGAGGCTGTGGCTGCCACGGGGGCTCTGGAATTGTGCCCCTCACAGAGGTTCCCCGAAAGGTTCTTCTAAGCCTTTATTGTCCCTGGGAAATGTTTCTTAGCCAGGTGTGGTGGCTCACGCCTGTAATCCCAGCTACTTGGGAGGCTGAGGCAGGAGAATTGCTGGAACCCAGGAGGTGGAGGCTGCAGCGAGCTAAGGTTGCACCACTGCACTCCAGACTGGGCAGTAGAGCGAGACTCCGTTTCAAAAAAAAAAGTTTCCTATACATTGGCCTGCCCTAAAACGCACTACCAATTTTAGCAAAACAGTCCAGGCCAAAGAGGAAGTGTTTTATGTTGAATAAGAAATCCAGCCAGTCCACACGGCCAGCTCCTGAGTGGCTTTGGTGATATTCGCCAGCCACCTGCTGACATTCAGAATCTCAGATTTCGGCACTGCTGTTGAGGCAATGTGTGTCTGACACCCGCCGAGAGCCCCTGGCTGTCTGTGCACAGGATGGGGGTCACTGCCCGGACATTCCCGCTTGCTAGGCTCTGATTTCTGGGGAGCCTTTTAGAGGCAGCAGACATACAGCACCTGTTCTCTGGTGTTTTAAGGGGAAAAAAAAAATCCGAAGTGCTGGTTAGCTAGTGACAACTTAGGATTGCTTAGAAAGGTTAGTTTTAGCTTCCTTTGTGGCTCCCTGGTGCAAAACAATTAGCAGCAATGCAGTGGACCTGATTCTAGTGTGTTCCAGTGTAAGTGAATAGGGCAGCACTTGCGTCTGACGGCACCTTGAACACCTGAACACCTGTGTAATGGGGAAAGACTGCGTGAAAGGATGGCCTCATTCTTCTTCTAATCTTGCTGGTTTCAAGATTAGAAAGCGACATTATTTGATCTGATAGGTGTGAGAAGACAAAAATAAAGTTACCTGGGTAGACTCAGCTTTCTCTCCTTGACACGTTGCTGTTATTTCCAAAGCAGACCACTCTTCATGAAAATACACACACACAACCTAAAGAGCAAGAATAAAATGAACCAAACCAAAATAAATAAACTAGAAACATAGTTCAACTAGAAAGTTTAACTAGAAAGCTTAAACCGGAAAACTGCTGCACGGCAGAAGTAATCATCACGAAAGTAGACCGACAACTTACAGAATGGGAGGAAAACGGGTTTGCAAATTCTGCATCTGATAAAGGACTAACAGAATCTATAAGGAACTCAAATTAGCACGCGTGCACACACACACACAAATAATCCTGGCTGAGCACAATGGCTCACACATGTAATCCCAGTACTTTGGGAGGCCACAGCATGCAGATAGCTTGAGGTCAGGAGTTCAAGATCAGCCTGGCCAACGTTGTAGAACCCCATCTCTATCAAAAATATAAAAAATCAGTAGGCTGAGAAGAGGGTGAATCCAGGAGGCAGAGGTTGCAGTGAACCAATATGGCACCACCCCACTTCAGCCTGGGTGACAGAGTGAGACTCTGTTTTAAAAAAATAAATATGCCAGGGGCAGTGGCTCACACCTGTAATCCCAACATTTTGGGAGGCCACGGCAGGCAGATCTCGAGGTCAGGAGTTCGAGACCAGCCTGGCCAGCATGGTGAAACCTCATCTCTATAAAAATACAAAAAATTAGCTGGCATGGTGACGAGCACCTGTGATCCCAGCGATTCCAGAGGCTGGGGCAGGAGAATTGCTTGAACCTTGGAGGCAGAGGTTGCAGTGAGCCGAGATCGCGCCACTGCACTCCAGCCTGGGCGACAGAGCAAGACTCCATCTCAAAAAATAAATAAAATAAAATAATAAATACTTTATAAACATTAACTTACTGACTCTTGTTAACCTTGGTGGTACGTTGTTTGATATCTACTAACAGACAAGGAAATGTGCACAGAGAGGCTAGGTTACTTGTTCAGAATCACAGCCAGTGCACAGCAGCATCAGAAGTCAAGCCTAGGGAGTCCCTCTCCAGTCTGTGCTCTTAACCCTGGGCCATGACACATCACCACCCACTGGGGCCCAGGAAGGGGAAGGACTCACACCTGAGGCCACACAACCAGGGTCCAGCCCCAGGCAGGCTCTTTCTCCACAAACGCCGAGCCACTTTTGGGCTCCTCCTCCCTTCTCTTGGTGACAGTTTTGCCTGTGTGCATCCTGTGGGCAATGGGAAGGCTGAGTTTGTGGTTTGTGGGTGTCTTTCAGGGAGTGCAGCTTGATGGAGCCAGTCTTTGTGTGCAGGGAGAGAAGCTGAGTGGAGGCTGGCTGGACGACTGGGCCTAGGCCTGCAGATGAGGGAAAGGGGCAGAGAGCACAAGGGATGTGTCCTGGCACTGATACTGCTGAGAGAGACCCCAACCCCCAGGAGGCATGAGGCATGAGGCAGTGGCTGCTGGTTCCCCAGCTGGTGAGCAAGGGCTGGCTGTGGGGGGCTTCAGGAGCAATGGGAGTTGTTAAAGACTCAGAGCCAGCAGGGCGCAGTGGCTCACACCTGTAATCCCAGCACTTTGGGAGGCCGAGGCGGGCGGATCACCTGAGGTCAGGAGTTCAGACCATCCTGGCCAACATGAAGAAACCCTGTCTCTATTAAAAATACAAAAATTAAGGCCGGGCGCGGTGGCTCACGCCTATAATCCCAGCACTTTGGGAGGCCGAGGCAGGTGGATCACAAGGTCAAGAGATCGAGACCATCCTGGTCAACGAGGTGAAACCATCTCTATTAAAAATACAAAAATTAGCTAGGCATGGTGCTGAGCGCCTGTAATCCCAGCTACTCAGGAGGCTGAGACAGGAGAATTGCCTGAACCCAGGAGGCAGAGGTTGCGGTGAGCCGAGATCGCGCCATTGCACTCCAGCCTGGGTAACAACAGTGAAACTCCATCTCAAAAAAAAATTAGCTGGGTGTGATGGTGCACACTTGTATTCCCAGCTACTAGGGAGGCTGAGGCAGGAGAATCACTTGAACAGGGAGACGGAGGTTGCAGTGAGGTGAGATTGTGCCACTGCACTCCAGCCTGGGAAACAGAGCAAGATTCTGTCTCAAAAAAAAAAGATTCAGACCCAGCCTCCATCCTCCGTGTTGCATAAACTGTTCTCCTAGGGCAGGCTTAGAGAGGCCCATGCCTGGGGCACCCAGGTTGGCAGGCAGCTTAGTGGATGCCTCTGGGGAGGCCTCCCTGACTACAGGCCAGCTCTGGAGTGCTGCTCAAATGCTCACTTCCAGCTCTCTTATGGTGGTGCTGTAGGCAGCCATGTTTGACACCATGTGACTATGCCTGGTGGTCACATGATGCCAAGACACCACACCATAAGTCAGCCCAGGACCAATAGCTGGTGGCATGAAGCAAAGAGCTGAACAAGTGGATTTAGCCCTGGGGACTTCCGCCTGGACATCCCAGAAGAGGCAACTGCTGATGGGGTCCCTGGCGGGTTGAGGATATGGGGAGGCCTGGGGGTCTTGGGGGTCTTGGGGAGTCTTGGGAATTTAGGGGGCCTAGGAGAACTTGTGGGGCTTTAGGAGGGCCTAAAGGGCCTGGGGGGGCCTTGGGAATCGTTGAGGAGCCTGGGAAGGTCTTGAGGGGTCTCTGGAAGACTTTTTGAGACTTGGGGGCCTGGGGAGCCTTGGGGGACCTCCAGAGGCCTAAGGGATCTTGGGAAATCTTTGGGACCTTACAGGGACTGGGGCTTTGGGCAGGCCTTGGAAAGCAAGCAGGAATGGGAGGGCCAAGGCAGGTGGAGCAGCCCCCACAGAGGGCCCGGGTCACGCTTTGGCCAGACCTGGGCACTGTGCTCTGGCTCCGGGAGCCCTGGTCATTCCCTCCGTGTGATGGGGGGATCCCAGGCCTGTCCCAGCATCCCTGTGAGGGGGAAGTGACCCCAAGGGGACAGGCATTGCCCCTGCTCTGAGGCCTGCAGGCCCCACAGGCTGCTCCCACGCAAACTCACCCCAAAAGCACACGAGGTTGTGGGGTCTACCAAAGTCTTTGTGGGGAGGTGGAGGAAGGACCCGTGTCCCCAGAGCTCCTCTCACGCCGACAGCCTCTCCACTGGTTCGTATAAAGTGCCCAGCACGGTGCCCAGCACACAGGCATGTGAGCCGACCACTGTCACCCTCCTCACCACTGTCACCCTCCTCACCACTGTCACCCTCCTCACCACTGTCACCCTCCTCACCACTGTCAGTCACTTTCGGTTCTCCTTCCCAGGTGGCCTCTCAGGATCTTTCTTCTTGCCTCCAGCGACCTGGAGCCCTTCCTGTGGGAACAGATGCGCCCTGCGGTGCTCCTCACGTGAAACAGGAAGAGCCTATAAATGAAAACACCTTCCTCCGTGGGATTTAGGTTTTTTTCTTTTCTTTCCTTTTTTTTTTGAGACCGGGTCTCACTCTGTTGCCCAGGCTGGAGTGCAGCAGCCCCATCTCGGCTCACTGTAATCTCCACCCCCAGGTTCAAGTGATTCTCCTGCCTCAGCCTCCCAACTAGTTGGGATCACAGACATGGGCCACCACGCCCGGCTAATTTTTTGTATTTTCGGTAGAGACCGGGTTTCACCATGTTGGCCGGGGTGGTTTTGAACTCCTCAGGTGATCCGCCCGCCTTGGCCTCCCAAAGTGCTGGCATGAGACACCGCACCTAGCCCCCCATGGGGTTTAGAAGTAGCTCAGCACAGCATGTGGCGGGTGCCACGCAAGGAGGTGGCACAGAGGATAAAAATCCACGATGGACAAATGCAGTCGGTGTGGAAATCAGGCTCCGACTTGTGTGGCTGACGGCGTGAGCAGCCACAAGGTGGCCTCAGTGAGCCCAGGGACCGGCAGGTGCAGGGCAGGTGGGAGGGTAGCGCACAGCTAAGGGGCTAAGAGAGACGTGGCAGGGTCCCCCGGGGCAGCAGGTGGGGGCTCAGCTCACCCTGGTCCTGGCTGCCCAGCTCATAGTGGGCACCTCCTCACCCGAGGAAGAGGAAGGGCAGCCTGCGGCCAGTGGGTGAGCCAGGACCCTCCCACCTGGGCTGGGGCACAGAAGGCAGGGCAGCTGAACCCACTGCAGAGCAGGGCCCGAGGGCTGGCTTGGGAGCAGGGGTTGCAGGCTAGCTCTGAACGGGCCTCAACCCATCCCCTGGGTCCCCCAAGCCCTTCCACCTCCACCCCCTGCTGCAGGCCACACCTACAGCCTGGGCCCTTCTGTGCTGGGGCTGTGCCCTGGAGGCCACGTGGGGCAGACCGGGGCTGCCTGGGCCCTGGAGCAGCGTCTCTGAGGCTTCAGTCCAGGGAAGCTGACTGGGTTCGTGGCTACACTCACAACACACTCCTCCTCCAGGCTGGGCCAGGCGAGAGGAGCAAGATGAAGGAGGGCTGGGATGGCCTTGCTGGTCCTCAGGGTCGCTCATCTCTGGGGATCTGGCTGGAGCTAGGGGCAGAGGAAGGACAGGCTGGTGGGAGGGGCCAGAAGCCTACTAGCAGGGCTAGGAAGCCCAGACCTAGGGAGGCCCAGGGCCAGGACCTCAGATATTCTGACCTGCCAGGCTGCCTGCCTCAGCCCTGCCCCACCCAAAACAAGGTATCCAGGGACACTGGCCTGTGGCAGACACACCCACAGCTTTGTTGTGTGCCCCTCTTGGTTCCCCTCCTTGTGGGGAGCTGCTCCTATCCCTGCACTTTAACAGGTGAACCTAGTGCCAGCCACTGCCCCCACCCACCAGCCCCTGACTCAGGCCAGATAGGTGAAAACCATCTGACCACAGAGGAGGAGACTGGGGGCACCGCAGGGCCCCAGGTGGCCGGAGGTCAGCCCCAGGGCGGGTGACCGAGAGGCCAGTGGTCTGGAGGATCCTGAGCCCCCCGCAGAGGGGGGCAGGCCTTGGTGCCTTTCCTTCCAAGAGGGGAATCTAAAGCGAGAGTGTGACATCGATCCAGGATCCATCGTGCAGGTACCAGTGA